TATGACCTCAGCGCAAGATTTACCGCTGTGCGTGGTGGATTCCGTACGTTCCCCTCCAACAGCCCCTTGAATGGCGTAAACTCTGTGTAGGGGAATGCAATAACGTCGGTGTGTACAGCCTACTGAAAAAGTAAAAGGTGGGGAAAAAGTCGTTCCTAGAGGTTGTTCAATTGGAGTCTGAAAAGTACTAGAGGTGACTAGTTTCACCGTTTGCGCTGGCGGTAGCCTCCCGGAGGCGGCGCGGCCGCAGCACGGCCGAGACCGCCAGGCGAAACGGGATGCTTGGCGCGCCAGCTGAGACTACGGCCCTCCCCACGACCCGCACCCCGTTGGGACGCAAAGAGAAGGGAAGGGCCGGCGCTAACTTCGCACTGGCATGACTGAGTCCCCAGGGTGGTGCCCCGACCTTGGAGGTAGAGGCGGCCGCCCGGGGACGTTTGTGCCAAAGAGCTTTGGGAGGTGACGAGTATCGCTGGCAAGCAAGCGACGCCGTAAGTCCGTTTAACCGGAGCGACGGCCCGTTGCAAGGGGGGCTTCTGGTCACAAGGCCGCCGAAACAGTATGTCAATGTTTTGTAAATCGCCGCGAAATGGGTTTTCGCTGAATGTGTTTTCACGTAAGCTGGTCCTTCTATGTTGGAAACTTCTTTTGCCTTAGTATATTCATGAGTCCGAAAGTACGTCTCCCGAGTAGTTTGTAAGTTCACGTGAGTTGCCGAATCTATGGTCGGTCGGGAAAAATAATCATAGTGGATTGTTCACGAAACTATCAGTTAGTGTGAGCTTCACCTCAGATTTCGTCTCTCAAAAGTCAGACGCGGGCCTCTACGAAGTGTACTATATGCCCAGCTGGGGGGATGAAGTGGTTTCCTGTGGGACCACTTGACGGTCAGTCGTATACGACAGAGTTGTCTAGTCGGCACGTTCAGAATTCTCGTGGTGCCGGTCATGTGCACTGTTGCGTTTACCGAGTAATTTGCATACTCAGCGAAAACTAGCGAGATTGCAATGAACCTATTCGACACATTAGGATCCGGCCGCATGCGAGATGGACAGAAATAAATCCAGCCTAACCGCTTTCGAGTAGCAGGTTCCTGCAGCCCATGCTCCGGGCGGGGCTGCAGGAACGCAGCGTTCAGTGTAATTTCAACGCGTCGTAGAGCAACCAAGTCATTTCATTGGACGAGAGGCATACTATGAGAGCTGGTCAGAGGGATGCGTTCAAATTTAGTCAGTAATTTGAGGACTGTCGAAATGGTGAACGCAGATAAAGTTGAGCTCGAAAATCCTCCAGCATCATTGAAGTCTCCGGTTTGGGAACATTTTGGTTTCGCAGTTACGTACAAGGATGACGGACAAAGAGAGTGAACCGAACAAAGATGTTGCCGGCATTGGTTCAACCTAAAATTGGTTAGCCGGCTGCAATAACGCAACACTTGCACACTCATGGTTCAAAACCATTACCGATACTCGAATATCACACGCGTACACAAAAAAAAGAGCTGAAGGCAAACCCCAAACTCCCCGGCTAGCACTTAAGCCTGCCAAACCAACTCGCAAAAGTTCAGGACCTGAGCCCCCAAAGCTATTACAAAGACGCCCAATATCCTTTATGTTGGCCATGTAACAAAGCCTATCATGGCCTGTGATTCGCCTACATCCTCTGCCCCTCAGGCGAGAGGGGTCTCCACAGCAGAGACAAATTCTAAGTGGCCAGCAACCTGCCCTCTTCCGGCAAGCAAGGGACACATATATTTCCTTAAAAAACAAAGTATGTAATGGTCAAGAGCGGCTCTAGGTTAGCTAGTAGCAGCTACAGTCAAATACAGATTATTTCATTCATCGAAATGCTGCACCTAATGTTTAATGTCTATTATATTCTACGTACTTTAGGACGTGAATANCGGACTGGCCATCGGGACGAATACAGTGTAGGCGGTGCGTGGTGGGCGCTGGTGCTGCTCTTCTCTGAGTTACATGTCCCGGTGCCTCCTGGAGTGACCACACATGGTCACTCCAGGAGGCACCGGGACATGTAACTCAGAGAAGAGCAGCACCAGCGCCCACCACGCACCGCCTACACTGTATTCGTCCCGATGGCCAGTCCGCCACTGGCTCTGTGTGTGCGTGTGCGTGTGCGTGTGTGTGTGTGTGTGTGCTGAGTGTTTGTTTCCCTTTAAACCAGCAGGTACTCTGAGAGTCACGGATATTAATTTACAGATCGAAGCAGACTGGTTCACAGACTCTCCTGTTTTGCCAATCCGGTGCTTGAACAAATAGATCTACACCCCTGGCCGAAATGTCCCTAAAATTAAGTCTGAGTTCGAAATATATCTCAAATAATGCAAGCACTGTCATTTCCCCACGTAAACATAACAGTTGGTTGTCTCCTGTGTGCTCCACTTCCTACTTGGCGCACCAGTAACTTTCTCAACAAAAAAAATCAGGATAACGGATGAGTTTTCTCGTGCGCACGAGAAACGAACCCGTTTTCCTGACTTTCTTTTTTTTCGGATTATTTTGTATAATGAATATAGAATATAAATTAGAATGAAACAATGGGTAAATCGATTTTTGGGAAATAAAAAGTTTTAAAAAATGTGGAGCACATAAGAAAATGAAGGAGATATAAGGAGGTCTGACCTTTGGAAAGCTGTTGTTGCGCTCCTCCTGCAGCAGCTCTCTGTAGGTGTCCAGATATCGGAAGGCGACGCTCAGCACCGCCTGCTTCCTCTCCGCTCTGTCCATCCCCCCCTCACCCTCTCCATCTTTCCTCTCCCCCTCCCTCCCTCCCCTCTGGCCCTGCTTCCCCTCCAGGTTGAATCTGAGGGAGTCAAGTTAAGGTGGAAACACGAGGGAGTGGAGGGTCATTTTGCACAGGCTTAAAGGGAATAGGGAAACACTAAATAAAAGCTAAATGGCAGATAATTACAAAAGAAGTTTGAAAAGTAATAAATAATAATACATCAATTAATGAATTAAAACGACAGAGAAATCTCATGTGTAAATGTAAAATAAAATATATTTAAAATCCTGATATGGTAAACAAAAAAGAGCTTAATTTTAAATTCTCAAGTAAAAGCTTACATTTAAATGTGTGATTGGAAAAGGAAAATAAAAACATGTGTAAAATGAAGGAGATATTAATAAATCAATAAAGTTTTTGCCTTAAATTGACTGTGTTTACAGCTGTTATTTGTGTACAATAATATTAAGATAAGGCTTCACAAATATTAGAAGTTTTAACTAATAGTATATTAGGATAAAACTTATATTATTATCACTCTTTTAGAACATAAGGATAGAGCTTACATTAATAGTATAATATTATTCGTATAATTGCCCACAATGACAAGTTATATTATATAAAAACATTTGATGAATACAAAATAAAAATAAATCATGTAATCAGATGCATTTATTATCATTATTTATATTAACATTTTAAAGGATTTGTTAGATGATTTTTAATTCATTTTATGGGTGAAAAAGCCACTAAATAGGACGCCAGACAAGCTGTGAATGTATACAAATAAACAGCCCTGCTAAATATTTAAATTTAGTTTCAATGTGTCAGCTTCAGAGACACCGCCATGAACACACACACACACACACACACACACA